GAGTCAAGGCTGCCCCGACAGGAGGACTTCAGAAGGTGGCACTGAGGGAGGTCGGGTGAGGAGTGACGTCACGAGGACACATCCAAGGGCCGGGTGATGACGTCATATCTGGGGAGAGTGACGTCAGGAGGACACAACTAAGGGCTGGGTGATAACGTCATCTATAGGGCGAGTGACGTCACGAGGACACAACTAAGGGCCGGGTCGTGACGTCATATCTAAGGCGGGGGAGGAAGATGGGGTAGAAAGAGAAGGAAAAGGAGAGGGAGAAGGAAAAGAAGAGAGAAAGGGGAGAAGGAAAGGAGGAAAGAGGGAGAGAAAAAAAAGGAAGAAGAGGTAGAAAAAGAAATTATTATCCTTATTTAATATTTCTTCCTCCTCCTCTTTCTGCTCTCATCTTCATTCTATTACTACGACCAGTTCTACTACTTCCTCATATTTTCTTAATCCTCTTCTTCCCCCTTCCCCAGTCCTCCTACCCCCTTCCCCCTCCCCATCACCTCCCCCTCCTTTCTCCCTTATAACTGCCTCCTCCCCTTCCCCCCTCCCCCTACCCCTTCCTTCCTTCCTCCCTTCCAAATGCCTTTCCCCCTTCCCCTCTCCTTCCCCCCTCCCCCCACCCCTTCCTTCCTCCCTTCCAACTGCCTTTCCCCCTTCCCCTCTCCCCCCCCCCACCCCTTCCTTCCTTCCTCCCTTCCAACTGCCTTTCCCCCTTCCCCTCTCCCCCCCCCACCCCTTCCTTCCTTCCTCCCTTCCAACTGCCTTTCCCCCTTCCCCTCTCCCCCCCCCCACCCCTTCCTTCCTTCCTCCCTTCCAACTGCCTTTCCCCCTTTCCCCTCTCCCCCCCCCCACCCCTTCCTTCCTTCCTCCCTTCCAACTGCCTTTCCCCCTTCCCCTCTCCCCCCCCCACCCCTTCCTTCCTTCCTCCCTTCCAACTGCCTTTCCCCCTTCCCCTCTCCTCCCCCCCTCCCCTACCCTATCCTTCCTTCCTCCCTTCCAACTGCCTTTCCCCCTTCCCCTCTCCCTCCCCCCTCCCCCCTTCCCCCACTTCCACCCACCCCTCCCCACCCCCCACTCACCCCCACCCCACCCAAAAGGAGGGGAGTTCCCGCAGCAGCAGGCGAGACGAGGCGAGCTGAGGCGAGGTGAAGGCAGCTAGCTGGTTCTCATGCTTAGTCTGTCTCCTCCTTCTCCTCCTTTATCTCTCTCTCTCTCTTTCTTCCTTTTCTTTCTTTTTTTCCTTCATCTGTTTTATTTCTGTCTATATTTCTATTTCTATTTTTTCTATTCTATTTTTTTCTTTATCTTCTTTATCTCCTCTGATTCCTACTTTTGTTCCCACTACCTGCTGTTGCTTCTCCCTCTGTTTCTTCCCCTCCTCCTCCTCCTCCTCCTCCTCCTTCCTCCTCCTTCTCCTCCCCCTCCTCCTATTCCTCCTCCTTCTCCTCCTCCTACTCTTCCTCCCCTCCTCCACCCCCTCCTTCCTCCTCGCCCCCCTCCCCTCCCTCACGTCACGACAATATTCCTGCCGAGGTCACTGCAACATCCCCCCCCCTTCCTCCCCAACCCCTCCCCCAGGCACCCCCTCCCCCAGGCACCTCCTCCCCCTCCCACCTGTTCGAAACGGTGAAAGCATCTTGGAGATTTCGTTCGCTTAAATGCTCGAGTATTTAGGGTAACGTCGTCTTTGTTAAACCTCTAGGACATTGTTAATGATACTTGCTGATCTGATGATGATGATGATGATGATTTTGAGTATCATTGTTGTTTGATTATGATCATTACTATCATTATTATTTCATTGTATTTGTTATTAATATATTATTGCTGTTATTATTGTCGTTATCATAATCGTATTGTTGTAATTACTATCATTATCATCATTGTCATCTTTATCATTATTATCCTTATCATTGTTATTATCATTATACTTACCATTATTATCACTATCTTCATCTTTATCGTCTTCATCCCCCAACAATCAGTTTCAACCTCATTATCATTGCTGATATCACCATCATTATTATCATCATCATCACCATCGTCATCATCATCATCATCATCTTCACTATCACCATCATCACCATCACCATCATCATCACCATCATTATCCTGAGTATCATGATCACCACCAAGAATCCATTAAAAAAAGTCCGTCTATTTTCCTTCGTAAGATTTAACATTTCTCCAAAACCTTTCATTCCAGCGTCTAGCTATTTTCCGAATCCCATCGTCGGGTCGAAGGAATTTTAAACATTTTGGGTTGTCTTGTTCCCTTTTTCTTCTATTTTACTTTCTTTTTTTTCTATGTTTTTTTCTTCTATTCTTCTTTTCTATCTTTCCTTCTTTTTTTTTCTTTTTTCTTTTTTTTGTTATTGTGTATTCTCGTTTCTTCGTCTTTTCTTCGTCCCTTCTTGTATTTTCTTTTTCCATTATCATCATTTTTATTATCATTATCATTATTAGTGGTAGCAGTAGACGCATTGCCATTCATCATCAT